ATTTGCAGCTAGAGGGGAAAGTCACATGTGAAGCATGAACAGCTGAAAAACCGACAAAAAGGTTTTATTTTGGACATTTAGGTTGAATATTTTAGATCTTTTATATAAAATAATTTTTCTGGAGAATGGGGCTGTTTATGTGTTATCAATTCAGAGGGCCCCCTGCCTGTCTTTGCCCAGGGCCCCAGATTTCTTTAATCCGCCTCTGGCCTGTGGGGCCCCTAGTTGTTTGTTCTTTAGTTTCTTTTTCTTTTCCTTCATTGTCAGGTGGTGGATGATTGGATTCCATGGAATACAGTAGAAACTAATCTGACTGTTTTTAATTAAAATCTTTAATCTGGACTCATTTTGGGGGTTAATGCATCTTCTAGGTGTTCCAGGTGTAACACCTGGGCTGTTCAGAAACACCTGGAGGTAAAGGTCTGACTGCGGATGAAGCAGAAGCAAATCATCAAACCAACGTCGCCTCGTTACCTAAAAGTTAAACTCAGGATTATTTACAGGATTACACACAGGCTGGCGTGACTAATAAATCCTCTGCTGTTGTTGGATTGAAGGATGGAATCAGTTTAACACCAATCATCTCGTTATGACGTCATAAAGGCTTCATGATCTTTAGATAATGAGAAAATTAACTCGTTTTTTTAAGAAAACAACCAATCAGAGGGAAATGGCCGCTCTGGGCTTCCGTATTTATAAATGAAATGTGTTTTCCTGTGTCAGCAGTGCTGCTGACTGTTAGCAGGTTGTTATTTATTGACTGAGGAGGACTTTGGACCAAATGGAAAATCCTCCTGCTGCAAAGATCATCACTTTCAATATTGAACTTAACCCTTCATGCGCCTCAGTGAAACACTTTGAAAATCAGCATTTCCAGCCAATAGCGTTATTAGAATCCTGGACCAGACATTATTACCTTTATAACATTCAAAAAATGTAAATGTTTTAATGCCAGAAATGAATTTCAATGTAATAACAAGAAACACCAAGTTGCCCGAATATATTAAGAAAATAACAAAAGTTCTTCAATAAGAAATCAATGAAAAAAACTCTGAGAGAAAGAAGCTATTTTCTTTGGTCCAACATAACCTTAGAGCATTAATGCTGATGCTGACATGTTTTAGTTACTAACCTAAATAGATTTATTAACTACGATTATCAGCTTTTTAGCTTTTTTCTTGACTTGTTCACTTTTTTTCCAACTTAATTTCCAGTAAATAATCGATCATTGAAAGGTTCAGCTAATCAGTCAAATACCAAAATCAGATGTGCAGCCATGTAGCAGGATCTATGCTGAATGGCTGGATATAGATCTAGTGCTTCTAGACCTCGCTGAGGTGTAAGGAAGTGATCAGAAATGCTAACTTGCTCTATAAAGGGATCAAAGACTCTGTGAAGCGTAAAACAGTATTTTTCTTTTTGCAATAATCAAAAGGCTAAATGTGTTTTTCTTTAATAGACTCATTCAGGATCCACCGATGGGAAATTTTAGACTCAGCAGTGAAGATAAGATGGTTTTCAGTCGTGGAACAAACGGTTGTGCAGGTTTAGCTTTAATAGATGTGCAGGGAAACAGATAAAGATGGACTCTGGGCAGCATGTGTGTCAGATATGGACAATAATTTAATTAACAATCTGATAATTAACGGTGAAGAATGCAAAGACAAAAAAATTATATCTTGCAAATTAGAGATCAGACAATCATCATAAGTCACCTAGCAGATGACATCACTCTGTTTTAAAAAATGAAAATCAGATCCCTCTGAACATCCAAACAGTTTATTTATTTTCCAAAACTTCAGGATTGAATTTAAATTTAGAAAGATGTGAATTATTGAGCATCCATGAATGTTTTTATTCATCGTTATACAACATAAAGGTCAAACTGGAGGTCAAATACCTGAGAATTAGGTAACAGAAACTGAAAGTTGTAAAGTCAAACTAAACATTGAACATCATTTAAAATAAATATAAACAGATTCTTTAGAACTGGTTGCAGAAAGACTGAACTCTTTCTGGTAGAGATTTATTTACCCCACATACTCATTATCTATAACCACAAAAAATTATCAAGGAAGTTAATAAATTAAACTTCATCTGGAGAAACAAGCATCACTATATCGAGAAATGAAATGTATTTAAAGACGAAGATGGAGGAAATAAAGGAATATATTTTGAAATAATAAATGTTGTTTTAAAGCTAAAGTTGCTTCAATCTTTTCTTAGAAGTCGTCATGAGATCTGGTTTGATCTGAGATGATGTATTTAGTTCCTGTTCAGATGTGATTCATTTATTTCCTGTAAAACTTTCTGCGTTTCATCAGCAGGTGCTGATAAACTGGAAACTGGCATTAAAACAGAACTTTAGTTCCCATAATGTTCCTTGAATATAAATAAACAGAGTTATTTATATTCTGTGTTTATGGAAAACTGGACGGAGACGGGAATCTGCTCAATTAGTCATTTATTGGATGATTATGGCAAAACATATGAAGATTTAATTCATAAATATAATCTAAGCTGTACAAAAAAATTATGAATAAATGATGAAAATAATACCAAATATATTTATTCAGCTCATAAAAAACAATCAGATACAAAGCAAGTGATTAAATTACAGAATATAGTAATAAACGGTTTAGATTTACTAGATAAAAAATGCAATAATAAGTTTTTAAGGCAACATTTAATAAAACAACTCTGGACTGGTTAGAAGGACATTTATGGATAAATATGAAAAGAAAGACCAAATAAATTTAATGTCAAAGTTTTTAAAATTGGAGCTCCAACCAAAATATAAAGAAATACATTTTAAAACTCTACGTGATATTTATCCCTCAAATGATCTGATTAGAAATAGATTTAAATCTGAATGTAACTGCAATATGTGATGAAACCAAAACAACAGAACATCTTTTCTTTCTCTGTCAAACTATCAAATAAATGTGAATCTTTGCTCTCTGCTGACCAGTAAACTCATAAGCACGCCTCCTTCTCATCACAAACTGTCTTATATGCTTTTTATCTGTAAATAAAATAGAAGAATATCTTATTAATCCCATCATCATCACTTTAAAATGTTATATAAATAAATGCAGATTTGGAAAAGCTAAACTTATCTGGTCTGAATTTAAACAGGAGATTCATCTTCTAAATGTTTCCTCTGAGAAAATTCAGAATCCAAAAGCCAAAGGTTTTTCACATAATCTCTCTAAGTTATTTCAGCAATCCCTCCAACAAATGAAAGAATGATGCTTACTTGGCTTTTTTCCTTTTCTTTGTCTGTGTGTGTTTTGTATTTTTTTATTTATTCATTTATATTTCATTATAATTCTGTTATATTCAACGGATGTATTTATAGATTTCCTTTATTTACGATTGTTTCTCTCTTTTTAAAGTTTATTGCATTAAGTAAACATCTGTTTACTTTAAAACTTGAAAGAAAATAAAAAAATATTAAGAAAAGTGTTAAGAAAAGAGGTTTAATTGACTTTATGTTGATTCTACTGGATTGATTGAGTTTGTCATTGTTAGTGTTCCAAATAAAGTTATTTAAAAAAAAAACTTTCCCTATAAAGGGTTAAGGAGGAGAAGCTCTTTTTCTTTCTTTCTTTCTTTCTTTTTTTTTTTAAAGAAATAAAGTTATAGTAAAAAACTAACGGGGACTTTTATTTTGATGTTTGAGAAAAATAAAGTCATGCTGTCAGCAGGTGCCCCCCCCCCCCCCCCCCCCGGATCAGCTGAGGGAGTCACATGACCCAAAGCAACAGGCTGGATGAAGGAAATCTCAGCAGAGGCAGAGCAGCAAGAAACAAGTAAAGTCAGAATTTAGACAAAGACAGGAAACCGGAAACTTTGCTTTTTATAAAAATAAAAGACAAAAGCCTCTATTAGTCTAGCTCTTTTTTTGGCTGTTTTGCAGACTTCTCTAATATAAACACATTTCCTCATGCAGACTGTCTGCAGGTATAGATGATCCTGTGTCAAATTAAAGATGATTATCAGGTGTGTTTATGCATTATTCCAGTCACTGGGCTAATGGCGTGTTGGGCGTCCATTTCCTGCTGCAAACAGCCAAAGTCTGACCCTGATGGTAGCTGCTCCATTTGGCATCACAGCAGCTCCGCCTGTCATGGCTGACTAAGCTCATCATCAGATATTTATCATCTGCTCTGATCCAGTCTGGCTCTAGAATCTGACCTTTATTTTGGGGCCCAGCAAAGTCGTTATTCAGCTACGCACCGCTGGGTGTTTCTAGGTTACTCTGATTGAATAGAAAAGAATTCAACATATTTGTCATTACGCTGTCACAAGTACAAAGAAATGAAATGTAGCTTGCATCTATCCAGAAGTGCTATACAGGATAGAAATATTTATTTACATGTGCACAGAGACTATGAATAGGTTATAGTGGTTCTGCTGGAGGTTCCTTCCTGTTCAAAGGGAGTTTTTCCTCTCCACTGTTGCTACAAGCATGCTTAGTGTGAGGGATTGCTGAAGAGTCAATGAGTCGATGCAATCAGCTGGTTTTCCTTAGATAGAAAACTTTGAATCAATCTGACTGGATGATCTGGTGAACTGGAAAGTGACCTGAGATGACATGATGTGAATTGGAGCTATAGAAATAAACTGAATAGAATTGAATATAAACAGAGAGTAATTGTTAGAAGAATTATACAGGAAAGTTAGGCTATATATATATATATATATATATATATATATATATATATATATATATATATATATATATATATATATATATATATATATATATATATATATATATATATATATATATATATATATATATATATTACTGGGGTTATAATACAGGATAAATAATGACAGATATTAGCAGATAATTATAGCAGATTAAAGGCAGTTTCTTGTTAGTAAGGTTGGGTCTGTGGGTGGGTGTGTGCGTGAGGACAGTCAGTAAACTTTAGATGCTTTTATTGTGAAAGAGCCCACCGGAAGCCGTCGATAGAGACGTATATTGACGATCCTGTGTCACATGACATTTATTCCGAATAATCAGAGGAATAACAGAGAGCCACCATGGCCAGGCGCGTGCAGTCGGTCATCATGGCGGCTCCGCATGCCGGAAGTTAGCTGGAGTCGGTCTGACAATCAGGACGCTTCACTCCCAGGATCCGGCAGAGCTGCTCCTCCACCTTCACTCCACCCAACGCGCCGTTTGTTGGCTTCACCATGACGGAGCGGACCCCCCTCCTCAACTACCCGCTCCTCGCGAGCGTCAATGAGTCCGAGGCGCGCGCCCCCGCTCCCAGCCAGACCCCCGAGCATCTGCCGGACAGCCCCCGGCGCCGGCCGCCCTCCCAGCGGCAGCAGCAGCCCAAGAAGCTGTCGGTGTTCTTCGGGGTGGTGGTCCCCACCCTGCTGTCCATGTTCAGCGTGGTGCTGTTCCTCCGGATCGGTGAGTGGAGCCAGCACCACCGGGCTAACTAGTTACTAACTAACTAGTTACTGACCCGGATTTAATCATTCAGGAACAAGGGATGTATTAGCCAGTAACTAATTACTAACTAGTTAGCAATTAGTTAGTAACTAGTTACTAACTAGTTAGTCATTACTTACTAACTAGTTAGTAACTAGTTAGTAACTAGTTACTGACCTGGACTTAACCAGTCAGTAGCCAGGGATTTATTAGCCAGTAACTAATTGCTAACTAGTTAGTAAATAATTACTAACTAGTAAGCAATTAGTTAGTAACTAGTTACTGACCTACACTTAACCAGGCAGTAACCAGGGAGTTATTAACCAGTAACTAGTTACTAACTAGTTATTCACATGGATTTAACCAGTCAATAACCAGAAATTTATTAGCCAGTAACTAGTTATTAACCATACTGTAACCAACTGTAACCAGGTGGTAACTAGTCGTTTGTAACCAGATTGTAACCAGGTGGTAACTAGTCGTTTGTAACCAGTCTGTAACCAGGTGGTAACTAGTTGTTTGTAACCAGCGTTAACCAGGTGGTAACTAGTTGTTTGTAACCAGCGTTAACCAGTGGAGCGCACTAATATCATGCAGGTGTTTTCCAGTGGCAGCTCTCCTTTCTGCTCTAATCAGATTCTCTGCTTTTCTAAACAATCATTTAAATGGTGATTAAATAAACGATCATTTCTAAATAATCTCTGAATCAATCAGAGGAAGGACAATGAAACCGGTTCCTGGAGGATCCTGGAGGTTCCTGGAGGATCCTGGAGGTTCCTGGAGGATCCTGGAGGTTCCTGGAGGATCCTGGAGGTTCCTGGAGGATCCTGGAGGTTCCTTGAGGTTCCTGGAGGATCCTGGAGGTTCCTGGAGGATCCTGGAGGTTCCTGGAGTTTCCTGGAGGTTCCTAGAGGTTCCTGGAGGATCCTGGAGGTTCCTTGAGGTTCCTGGAGGTTCCTGGAGGATCCTGGAGGTTCCTTGAGGTTCCTGGAGGTTCCTGGAGGATCCTGGAGGTTCCAGGCTGCTCCGCCGTCTAAACAATCAATCACTTTCTAACATCATGGATTCGGTTATCGGCTGTAAATCGGTTTATAAAGCAGATGTTGGTGAATTAAAGGCCTGCTGCAGCTTCACTGATGGAGGAATAATCGGCCCGTTCCGATGGATCTGGATCGCTGCGTTTGCTTGATGGAAACACCAGGTTTCAGTTTCACTGAAGCAAACTGATGAGTTTCACCTGAAAATGCAAAACTACACAAACTCTCCTGCCTCCGTACGCCTGCTTTAATTTCTACTTTATTTCATTTCTTTTAGTTT